CAATATCAGGGGGCTACCACAATTGTCTCCGTATATGCTTCATGTATTATTCGCCTGAAGAACTTCGCAATGCCATAAAGAAGTTACTTGAGACCATCAAATTACGACTGAAGAGGGCAGCCGATAATAATGAAGTCATCAAATAGATTAAGGTGCTACTCAAGTGGAAAAAAGAATGATGCCTGTGTCATTTTAGCGAGTCTGTGTTTCCTTTGCCAGTTAGTTGTTATATCATTGAGGTATAATGGTTGTATCATGGAGATAAATTATCTCTGTTTACATAAGAGAGTGGCAACAATTCATGCTTACATAAATCTGAATGGTTAGATAGACAGGGAAAAAGGTGTCTTTATTGTTTTATACATAGATTTAGGCTAAAAGGACTGAATTTAAAGCATGCTTGTGTATATTTTACCCAAAGGAATTTGATAGTGAATAGTGTATTGAATAAATATGTGAAAGGAAGTAACTGTTATGTTACTTCTGTACCTTACAGAATAAAAAAAATATTTAAAGTATATGTTTAAGATATAAGTATTGATTCTCTGTTACGGGTTTCAAATATATTAAAGTGTTTATACAAATGTAATGATGTTTTGTCCCCTGAAAATGACCAAAAAATTATTACAAAATAATTTAAAATTAACTTGCATTGCAGTAGCATAGAAATTATTAACTTGTGCATAGAAATTATTGAATTTAGAAAATGTGTACCCCTGATGTTTATAATCAAAAATTATATTAAAAAATGATTAAAAACACTTCCAGTGACTGGAAGTACTTTTATAATTTTTCACTGTGTTCTGGGTAAAAAATTTTTAAATACACAGATTTCTATGTTTAAGTTGATAATTGTTATGTTACTTCAAAATGAGCAAGTTAATTTCAAAAATTAATTTTTATATTTTATTTTTTTTTTGTATTTTTCATGAGACAATGCATCTTTTATCTACTACAGGCCTAAACCTGCATTCATATCAAATCCGAACCAAAATCCACACCGCATTCTCGAGACGCTGGACGCCAGCGTCCCTATTCTTACAAACTGAACCGGTTCAGTATTCCTTCTGATCTGGAAATCAGGATTTGGGATAAGATGTATTCATTCAGTGTAAACACCAAGGATAACCCACGAAAGTCTAGAAGAAGGCTTATTTCCAGTGGGGTCCTTCTGGTGGTGATTGGGCAGTACACAGTGATAATCCCCTACTCTTGTCCAAAGAGTGTACTTCCTACTTTAACATGCACATGGGCCATAATGCTCACGGAACCAACGGCGTAAACGTCTCATCCGAAGGTGTAACTTGCACTACAGCCCTGCAACTGAAACACAAGGAGAGGCAGGGATGAGAATTGAACCGAGGACCTAGAGATCTCCATGTTTCATCACACACACAGTGGCTACCACCAGATAAGCCAACTGAGCTAGCTTTCTTATATTTGATGTCCATTATTTTCTAGAACCCTATGGAGTCCCACGTGACTAAATCTGAATGCATCTCTTTATAAACAACATTGACATGGAAGAGTCAACAAGTGAGCCCATACCACGTGTGGTGTACCTTACTGTTACTGTTGTAGTAGCCATCTTCCTCAGAGCCCATCACATGACCGTCATTGATGGGCTCTGTTGTTAATTTTTTTTGGTCAGTTAATTTTTATACCACTTATTATTTTATTTCCGCAAGGTAGCATATTAGGTCCACTACTGTTTTTATGCCTTGTACACAATATGATA